GGTGACGCCTGCTATGTATGGCAGTGTGATGATTTTGATCGGAGTGTCAAGTGGTTGTTTCTGTATGGTAGCAGAAACAGCTTGGCGGATGATATGGTTAGAGTAACCGTTCATCTTGAGGGCTAGATGTACATGTTTTAATTCACTGGTCAGGTGGTGTTGGTCAGAAATGCAATGAGCTCTATAGTGCAATGTTTTGATGAGATAATTATTTTGAGCCAGGTGGTGGTGGGAATCAGGCTTCAAGTAGGAATCTGTGTGGGTGGACTTCCTGTTAACAGAATGTCCCAAAGAGCCATCAGTTCTCCTCTCAAACAGAACATCCAAGAATGGCAGCTTGCCATCTTTCTCCACTTCAATGGTGAATTTGATGGATGGGTGTCTGGAATTGATGTGGTCTAGGAAATGGTTCAAAGCTGGGAGGCCATGTGGCCAAATGACGAAAGTGTCATCCACATATCTCTTCCACAGGGAAGGACGAAGGGTGGATGTCTGGATGGCATCTGATTCAAATTTCTCCATGAAAACATTGGCTATCACTGGTGACAAGGGGGAACCTGTAGGGGTACCCTATTTTGTTTGTAGAAGGTGCCATTCCAGGTAAAGTAAGTGTTGGTGAGGCAGTGCCTAACCAGCGCAGGGTTCAGTCCATGTTGGACCAAATCTTCAATTATTGTTATGGTATCAGGTACTGGGACCTTGGTGAACAGAGAAACAACGTCAAAACTGACGAGGATATCATCAGGAGATAGTACAATGTCTTTGACCATAGAAACCAATTGGGTTGAGTTAAGTACTGCTGAGGTGGTCTTGCCAGTGAAAGGGAGCAGAGTATCCGACAGAAAACGGGCTAGCTTGTAGGTAGGGGAGTTGATCGTGGACACGATGGGTCGTAGTGGGGTACCTTCTTTATGGATCTTGGGAAAACCATAGAATCTGGGAGGTCTTGCAGCGGAGGGTTCTAGCCAGGGACGTTTGGTTGGTTCGATTAGGGAAGTCGAACTAGTGATGATCTTGTTGGTTTTTATCGTTAGGCTGTTAGTAAGATCTCTTTTAATTTTTGAGTAACTCCCATCATTGAGTAGGTCCTGGATTTTGTTGTTGTACGAGTTTTTTATCCATAATGACAGTGGCATTGCCCTTGTCGGCCGAGAGGATGACTATATCATCCATCTTTATTAAATTCGCGAGTTCAGAGCGTTTGTTTTTGTTGATATTGCTGATGGGTTTCTTAGCATTCTTGAGAATAGTGGCTATTTCCCCCCAACCCTCAACATAACTAAAGACGGATTAACTTGGCCTCGTCGTGGCTCCCTGCTTGGCTCCTCCCCCCCACCTTAACCTTAGCCCCGCACGCCGTCGTGGCTCCCTGCTTGGCTCCTCACCTTAACCTTAGCCCCGCACGCCGTCGTGGCTCCTCGCTTGGCTCCTCCCCCCCACCTTAACCTTAGCCCCGCACGCCGTCGTGGCTCCTCGCTTGGCTCCTCCCCCCCACCTTAACCTTAGCCCCGCACGCCGTCGTGGCTCCTTGCTTGGCTCCTCCCCCCCACCTTAACCTGTATATAAGCTCGAGGGTCTCAGAGCTCCCCACTTGATGCAGCTATCTTGCTGTGACTGTTCCACCTGAAGACGGAAGCTTGTGTTGCCTCCGAATCGTCGTGATTTGATTTAGTTGTTTTCTTTTATATTAATTTGTTTTACCTACGTGACTTTACCGAAAAAAACAACGAGTATGTCAACTAGTTTTGTACTTGTTAGTAATCATCATGGGCACAGTAAAGTATCGTCACTAATGCACACTGCTACAAAGTATGCCTCTGGAACCGTACAACCAGTGCCCGATTATCCTCGTAGCAAAAGTAGCTACATGTGTAGTAGCTGCATGTGTAGTAGCTGCATGTGTAGTAGCTGCATGTGTAGTAGCTGCATGTGTAGTAGCTGCATGTGTAGTAGCTACATTGTAGTAGCTACATTGTAGTAGCTACATTGTAGTAGCTACATTGTAGTAGCTACGGGCCCCGCACTTTCAAGGGCCCCGCGCTAAATTATTTCAAGCTATCAATTCCGGTTCAGTAATTCTGCACTTGTTCTATTACTATAGTACTATACTGCCTTCAACTTTTATGAACGACTGGCTGTTTAAAGGTTATCGATTTGTCATATTATCTGGCCATGTAGCATATGAAAAAATACAATTACTTCACTATGCAAGTAAAAAATTTGTTTTCATATTAATGTGTGTGTGTTTTTAGGGCCCCTTTTATAACATATGCCACAGGTCCCGCACTAGCTTAATCCGGCACTGCGTACAGCTTTGCTGTGTGATGGGGATGGCACCCTTGCAAAGGAATGCGTTGGAGAGAATGACCGCCGAGGAGATGGAGCGACGAAATCAGGTGCAAGGTGGATTGTTACATTGCAGAATTGTGAGAGACGGCTTAGGGGAATCCTTCATCTAGCAGTGGATTGATGATGGCTGCTGATGATGGTGGCGCGTATTGGGTCTCATTGTACGCGTGGCCACAAGGCGGCGCAGTGGATTCACGTGGCTCTGAAACAACTTTAATAGTGGAGGCGCCTAACCCCGTGCAGGTCAGCACAGGCGCATGGGCACACGGACTGACAGAGAGATTCCCACATACAGCCGACGCAGACTGTTGAAGCGAGGGGCTGTTAAGGCAGTCACGGCGCGCGAGTTAAGAGGGCGATGTTGACCAGTGCTGATGGTTACACAACGCACCAGGTTACTCGTTTGAAGCAGAGACAACCTAGGGGTCTCTCCCGAGATCCGTTCAGATATAACTGGCCATTGGTGCTATCAGTGGACGGGAATTAAACTTTGGAAGACTTCACCACGCTGCTCAGTGCGGGCTGATGAAGGCGGCGAAAACAGAGTGGGAGCATAGACGTACAATACAACGATGGCTGTTATTGCACTACTCACTGCTCCCCACCACATAGTCTGGCAGCAATCTATAACGCCTGTTAAGCATAGTGATCGCCAATCCAAGCTTTATCCAGGCTCTGTTGGATAGAACCTGGATTCTATTCCAAATCGTGGTTGGATTCTTGTGGGAAGAAATCAGAGTGCCCCGAAAAAACCCACCATCCATAACAGAGGGTTTTTTTGGGGGGTTAGATCGCGTAAACCCGCCACCACCCAATACAGCCAATTAGTAAGATTTGTCACGTAAAGAGAACGTGCCAATTCGTTACTAGTACAGCACACCGGTGTGTTGGAGAGCCAAGCCACGACATTTACAAAACCCACCATGCATAGGTGCGTGGAGGTAACACTCAAAGCTCGGCAGAGATAAAGATATGAATCCACTGCTCTGCTGTGTCACTTTCTGTCCACGTTGCAGCCTCACGCCTAGGGACACTTGCTATTACCGAGCAAAGCCTCTCATGCGGATACAAACCAAGCTCAGCCGCGCATGCGACGAGGTTGGGACACGAATTGAGGACTTACTCGCGAATTACAGTACTCATTTGAAATATACTCAGAAATCATCGCCCCCTTCTGTGAAAACTTGGCAGGACCCTCCGTTAAGAAATAATAATAATGAGGCTCAGTAAGGCTTTCCTAGATTAACAAACGTAATAATGTGGTTGTAAAACGTGGTCGTGATATTGCTGTAAAGGCATTCGAGGTTGTGCTGCAACTCTCTCCGTTGCGTTTTCGGGGGTTTTAATTATTCCGTTTCTTTAATTAAAAATTCGTTTAGTTCCCAAGGAAGCTCCCAGCACATGGCGAGGAACGTGGGACAACAGCCCACGCATGGTATGACCCGAAGACACATTGAGCCACGGACCTTCGAAATTCTAACTCTTGCGGGGAGGGCTTCTCTGCAGTTGGCGTCTCGCCCGTCGCCCCCACTGATGTCCTCTCCCCCGCAAAGTGTGCAGATACTACTTACTCTCTTGTGTGTAGGGTGTGTAGTAGATACTACTGACTCTATTATATGTAGGGTGTGTAGTAGATACTACTGACTCTATTATATGTAGGGTGTGTAGTAAATACTACTGACTCTATAGTGTGTAGGTTGTGTAGTAGATACTACTTACTCTCTTGTATGTAGGGTGTTTAGTAGATACTACTGACTCTATTATATGTAGGGTGTGTAGTAGATACTACTTTATTATATGTAGGGTGTGTAGTAGATACTACTTACTCTATTATATGTAGGGTGTGTAGTAGATACTACTGACTCTCTTGTATGTAGGTTGTGTAGTAGATACTACTGACACTATTGTATGTAGGGTGTGTAGTAGATACTACTTACTCTCTTGTATGTAGGGTGTTTAGTAGATACTACTGACTCTATTATATGTAGGGTGTGTAGTAGATACTACTTACTCTATTATATGTAGGGTGTGTAGTATATACTACTGACTATATTGTATGTAGGGTGTGTAGTAGATACTAGACTCTATTGTATGTAGGGTGTGTAGTAGATACTACTGACTATTGTATGTAGGGTGTGTAGTAGATACTACTGACTCTCTTGTATGTGGGGTGTGTAGTAGATACTACTGACTCTCTTGTATGTAGGGTGTATAGTAGATACTACTAACTATATTGTATGTACGGTGTGTGGTAGATACTACTGACTATATTATATGTGGGGTGTGTAGTAGATACTACCGACTCTATTGTATGTGGGGTGTGTAGTAGATACTACTTACTCTCTTGTATGTAGGGTGTGTAGTAGATACTACTGACTCTATTATATGTAGGGTGTGTAGTAGATACTACTGACTCTATTATATGTAGGGTGTGTAGTAGATACTACTGACTATTATATGTAGGGTGTGTAGTAGATACTGCTGACTATTGTATGTGGGGTGTGTAGGCATATATGCCTACAAAATGAATGTATTTGGGGGGGGGGGGTGGGGTGGAGTGAAAATGTTTTGAGGGGTTGAGGGTCGCCAATTTTTGGAAACCTGTTGGATCAACTTTTCATCCCCACATGTGGGTGGGGGCTGTCCACTTTCTACAACGTTTTGATGCAGGCCTTCTGAAAGGCTCTTATCATTTAGTTGACGGACAAAAGGACAAACGGAACGCTGAGCTTTTATAATCGATGTGGTCGTAGGTTCATGATCAATGGATGCGTCACCAATCTCTTTTGACAGCTTTGAGCCAGTGGCTGTCAATTCCACATTTCCACGGCGGGAGACGTCGTTAACCTCTCACGAAAAAAAACATAACAAGTAGGCTTTTGCGACCATCGATTATGATTCATAATTACTACTCGTAATTGATGGCGTGAGTAAAATGCCATTGTGCGTCGTACACCCAGCCTCCACTCGAGCGCATCGACGCGAACGGAGTCGCGCCACGTGAACAAACGTGCCGATGTGCTTTGTTCACGTGACAAATTCACGCGCTTGACCGTGTCGGGTGGAGAAGGGTGCACGACGCAAGTTGGCGTTCTACTCGCGTGGCCGGGACCTCTCGCCAAGTTGGGCCCATCTCATTGCGTCGACCCTCTAAAGTCCTCTGCGTTGCGTTGCACATTTTTTTTGCCTTTCTCGTCTCGGTGACTTAGCCTGCGCGCGCGCGAACGTTCCGGTTGGATTCCAGTGCGAAACGTAAAGATCACTCCCCCACCACCACCACCAACCACCAACCACCACCACCAACCACTCCCTCTACCTCCACCACCAACTTCCCTCTCTCCACTCCCCCATAACCGCGCGCGAGTGCAGAGAGCGCCACCTCTCCTACAGCTCCTAGAGTGACCCGTCAGGGCCGGCCAGACGGGGTTGTATTACCAGTACGGTTCACGTGGTCTAAAAAGGCAAGTGTCTTGCTCGTCCGGACCAAGGAGGAGGATTTACCTCCCCCTGCACCTCCCCCAACCGCAAAGAAAAAAAGAAAGGAGAGCTAGAGACGGATCAGTGTGGTTGTCTTGATTCGTGTGCTGCGGGATCGCCCTACTCTGAGCTCACCGCATAACGCTCTCGTTCTCCGCAGCGACACTAATGATTCGTTCAGATTATTTGGTCTCGAGGTTTTACACACGTACATACATATCGATCCCTGCTTCAATCTGGACGTGACATTTGCGGCTCTCAATCGTAAGTTACTTTATATATATAACCTGGGACACAGTTTATAATGTACACGCACACACAGTCATATCGTGTGGACTGATTTAAAGACGGGGGGTGGGGGGGGGCATACATATACTCAGAGGGGATCACGACACCATCGATGTTAAGCAAACTTCAGTAGAAATGTAAACGCTAAAACAGAAAGAGTGATGGTAATATCTGCTTTTTTGTTCGATATTTTTTTTCATTCACTTTTAAAGAATTTATAGGGGGTGCGGAACTTTCAGCACTTGAGGCTTTGCCCCCCTACCGCTGCTACGGGGCACTGACAAACACACATAAAGACAAAGATCCCCCATATAGCCTTTAACAGGCTGTTGGGGCAAGTGCTGTGAGCGAGCACCTATGATCATCACTAGCTAGATGCAATTGGCTTAATGCTATTAATTAGTGTAACATTATAGGGGCATTTGAACTTGACATTTGTTTTCACTTTACAAATCACACGTTACTATACTCGGATGTAAACGTGTACGCAAAGTCTTCGTTAAATGTTAATATTCACGTGGTGTGCAAATAACTTTTGATTCAATTAAACACACGTACCTTGTCGACAGTCTGTATGTATAATGGAGTTGATCGGCGTATAGCGAGCATGTCTATGAGCTGGACTTTACGATAGTCCATGGTGTATGATGGTTTGGTTGTTCCCCACAATTCGGGTTGAGTAATGCAACCTGTTCACCACAATTTGTACTTCCAGTTTGACCTCAACACCAGCTTCAACCTTGAAACCTCTGCTATTACCTGCACGTTAATGTCAGGAGAAAGACCAAGGTAAGCTGTTGCCAAACATCACATGTGTATGTTCAACTGTCTTCAACACACATACATATATGTAGGAATACATATTCTTGGTTCTTTCGGCAAAGTCACGTAGAAGGGAAACAATAAAATAATAACATTTTAAAACAATACAATTCTCACGACATTTCGACTACAACACAATCAGTCGAAACGTCGTGAGAATTGTATTGTTTTATATTTTTTTAATTTTTTTTATTATTTTATTGTTTCCCTTCTACGTGACTTTACCGAAAGAACCAATAATATGAATCCCTGCAGTCACGAAAGCTTTAAATCAAAATATAGGAATACAGTTATATATCAACATATATTTTACTCGGAAAACTATGGCTGAAATTATATACAAAAAAAACTCAGCACACTCGACAACAACAGTATCTTAAAAGAAAAAGGAAAGAAACATAATCGGCGACGTTTCGGGTATTGACCCTTCTTTATAAGCACACGGTTTCAGCGTTTAGTTTATTAAACATATTTCTATCATAGTGCGTCACTTCTGCTTTACGGTATGCTGGCAAAAACTAGACTGATCTGGTTTTTACAACAAAAAAAAACATTAAAAAGACAACATGGTGCAAGAATTTGTGCTTGTTTTTTTTTAAAGAGAACCTTTGAGTGGGTGCCGATAGGTGCACGCGCCAAGGATGAGTCGATTTGCACACACAACAAACACACAGGTCAGGCTCTGTGCTGCATGAAACATCCACTCCCGATGTACTCGAATGACCGAGTTTGTGTATATGGTATGGCGCTTGGGGGTTTTTTTCTCTATAAGTTGAACGGGGGTGCCATCGATTATACGTAGTGCTCTTGCCAATCACTCAACCCATATATGGGTTTCGATTTAAAGCTTTCGTGACTGCAAGGATTCATCTTCTTTGGTTCTTTCGGTAAAGTCACATTGAAGCTCTGTCGTCCCGACAGGTCAGTTCCTTTCACCTGAAGACGGCCGCTTGCGTTGTGGCCGAAACGTCGTGAGAATTTTATTATTTTATTCTCATTCTACGTGACTTTACCGAAAGAACCAAAGAAGACATATACGGGTTATTTAACACGTGAGGTCTTCGCGACCAATATTTTTCGTAATAAATAAAATAAAAATATTGGTGGGGGGGGGGGGGGGTTAGATCGTATAAATCTAAATGTGTCGTTAACCCACCCACCACCCGGTGTGATGAACTAGTAACTAATTGGCACGTTTTGTTTACGTGACAAACCTTACTCATTAGCAGTGTCGGGTTGGTGGTGGGTTAACGACACATGTGGCTGATCTGGCTGCGTTTGTTTTACAAGCCGGAGACTACCCAGCAAAGAGGTGGAGACGCTTCCATCAGAGTTTAATTGCTTAAATAGTTTGTGCTGCTTGATTATATTGGTCTGCAAAACACCCAATAATAAGGTGGGTGTGACTAGCCCGTGTAGTATTAATATATGGAGACGCGGAACGGAGTTCTGCTCATATACGCTTTTAATCTAATGACAACCGTGTACTTTAATATCGTATGCTTGTTGAACTTCTTTCACACCGTACGTAGCCAACCCTGCTCATCGGAGGTGCGGGGGAAGGACAAAAAAATAAACACAAAACAACTGTTCATATAACAATGATATAATATAACAATGATACTTTACATACAGGGCGATCCACGTATAGATACTCCATTAAAATAAGAGGCAGATATTATAGAGGGAGAACGACATTAAGCCTCAATGCGTCTCCCACCAATCACAATGCGTCTATTAAATCGTTAACACTCTTCTCTGTTAGGATACGGATAATAGCTGTGACTATATGCAATTACCTGCCGTCAGGTGATAACATATATTATATATAGAAAAAACACTTAACACGATTGTCAATAACCCTGCCTTAAAATTAAAACATTAGGCGACATTGCGGGTGATGACCCCACTCCCCACAGAACATAAAGGCAGAGTGTTACGGACCAATGTGTTGTTTATTTGTGGCTGTACACTATTGCCATCGCAAAAGAACCACCAAGTAATTCGTTGTATATATGTACAGAGCGTTATAGCCTCGTACGTGACTCACAAACAACGCGTTTGATGCGCATTACCCGTAATGCGCTCAACTCGCTGCGCATATTTGACCCGTAACTCGTTCGCCCGCTTTATATCGGCTTTAGGATCATGCGCTTTCAACGAGCACTAGGAATACATAATTTTTGGAACTAACGATTTTATGCTTGTATTCAGCGAACTTAAACCTCTATAAATACGAGCGTCAGTACGGCCTAGGTTCAAAAGCTCTAAAAAATAAAAACGTAACTCCCCCCAACCACAGTTTTCGGGATGACGAAAACCTAACATTTTGATGTTAACATCGATCTAATAATTATCAACGACTCGATTACATACGTGCCAAATCTCAGCTTTCTATTCCTTCCAGAACATCTTTCAAAATGTACATCAGTCGCTCAGCCCGATACGATTGGTATCACAACTCCGCACGGAGAGTGGGAGTGGAGTGGTGGCATAGTTGTTAGCGCACTGCACAGCGAACTCCGCCTCACCTGATTCAGACTCGCGCTCACAGGCAAGATCAGTGACCGAATGATACCTGAACGGGTTAGAGGACACCACGCCGCCCTTTCACTAACCCGCACTCACCCACCAGCATGGCTGTGTAGTATGTTCAAACAACCCCCGTGACCGACCCGACCTGGGGAGGCATTCATCCTTCAAGTAGATCGACAAAGTTGCTGTAACAAATACAGCTTTGCCTCGCCTGTTCGCCGGTTCGGTTCGTGCGATTTCGCGTACATGCGGCTACCCTCTTTCTACACAAAATTCGCTACACTATGCGGTTTTGAATTCACTCGTGTGCGGCTACGCGATCGGACGTTGGACAGCGTTGTGTGTGTGTGCATACTGTGTGTGTATTGTGTGTGTGTACTGTGTGTGTGTACTGTGTGTGTGTACTGTGTGTGTGTGTACTGTGTGTGTGTACTGTGTGTGTGTACTGTGTGTGTGTACTGTGTGTGTGTACTGTGTGTGTGTACTGTGTGCGCTAATCGGCAAGCGGCTGTCTCCTTGTGCGGTTTCTTTTTTGTGTGCTCCCCCCCCCTTTTTTTTGTAACGCATCTACCGCACAAAAGCGTGGAAAACGCTGAATGCAGAGCTATGCAGCGTGCGTTGTGTACGGAGTAATTTTTTGTACATTTCATTTTACTATTTTTATTTTTGCTTTTATTATTTTATTATTGTATTTTTGTTTTCTATCTACGTGACTTTACCGAAAGAACCAAGGATACGTAGTAAATCTCTGTGCTTCTCATACCTGTCTGACCCGCAGGCTGATTTTAATGATAATAAAATGAAAATGTCAGAAATGACCGGCGCTTCCTCGAGTCATCCGAGAAATCACGCGCAGTGGGACATCAATGACTCCAAACTGCCCCAGGTATCGCTACACAAACGGGATTAACATACACTTTGAATGGCGTCTTCAAATTCGCGGCGTGTAATGAGCCCGCGGTGTCTGGGATAAGGCTCGGAGCTAATGCAGAGCGGATAGTATGCAATAATTATTATTGTTGCAACGTTCAAACAAATATATACATGTATGTAATTACCGTATTGTCCCGATCAGAGGTTTGCTCCAGAAAGTAAGACGCATCCAAAAAAGGTGTGCCCGGGTGTAAAATAAAGGTGTAAACAAATCTTGTTACACGAACGCACACAAGCACAACCCGCATTATAAGACGCACATCCAACTTGTGCTCGTGGGCAATAATTGCGTCTTATAATCCGGGGATTGCGGTATTCATTTATGATCATCGATTGATCTTGTTGTATCCGTGTACAGTATAGTATGTACACTATCGTATATTGTGCCTGTCGCTCAATCGCTCGGAATGCGCCAGACATCATCAGATCACGGAGCTCTGAGCAGGTGATGAGTCGGCATTGCTGCTCGGATTGACGACCTCCACGCACGGAGCAGGCGATATTGCCATGCATAATATAAGCCTATGATTACATACGTACATGTAGAGAGAGAGAGAGCCCTCTTTTTTGCTAACCTACTGTTAGATGAATGCCTCCACGCGCCGGGCTGGTCCGTGGAACTAATTGTGAGCATACTTCACCACGCTGGTCACTGCGGATTTGTGGAGCCGGGCAGCATGGACATGGGATCAGGGAAGCACCGTTGAGCAATGAATATTTTTTTTCTGGATTGCCCTCTGCTGCCCACAACAATATCCCAGCAATGCATGGTGGTCACCCATCCAAGCAGTACCCAGGCTAAAGGAGATCGTACAATATTGATTTACAAGATCGATTTGGTCATAGCTGTAACATACGAGGGGCGTATACATCTTTATTCTGTTTGCGAGTATCGCAACACCGTTGGAAAGCTGTATACATTTGCGCGTGTACTATACAGATTAAGCCGGTGTTCTTCATTGCAAGGCCCGAGGGCCACTGGCGGCCCCTGGTGGCCTTAAGTGCGGGCCCCTGACGTGCGGCCCCCGACCATACACAACACGTGACAACACCCCCCATCATCATCATCATCGTGCTGCTGTCAAACCCCCAATGGTTTCACACGTGTGGCGGCCCTCGCACTGCTGATGTCTTATCGGCGAAAGTGGCATGAGTGAAGAACACTGAGATTAACGGTATAGTTATCCCAACAAAATAGTGAAGAGCAGACTTAAATTATCCTTAAAATGTGACACGTTATTTGGTGATGCTGCATCGAACGCGGGTCGCCGGGTTAGCGCTCTAACCACTACCCCCCCCCACCCCACCTCAAAACAAATACAAAGATCCCCCTCATAGCATCAATAGACTTTTGGGGCAAGTGCTGTTCGCGAGCACCTATAAAGGCCGGAATAGCACACGAGGGGGTGGGTGGCCAACACCGCCGCCCGGCAGCCTTTGTCTCCCTCAGTGGCGATGTTCGCACATCGCACCAGGTACTCATTCGAGGCTGGGTCGACCTGGCGGAGACCCAGGACCGGTTCAGATGATCGTCACTGGGTGTTGTTGGCCGTGAGCGGGAATCGAACTAGTGCTCGCCGGGTTCGTAGCGCAGTGCTCCGACCACCACGCTGACCGCCAACCCCACCACGCAGGTGGAGGTGCTCGACTCATTCCAGGAGTGGCCTGACGGATACGCCCGCCTCGTGTACAACGCGACGGAGCGCAGCGCCCAGAAGCACCAGAGCGGTTGGGCCATGCGCAACACCAACAACCACAACTGCGCCATCCTCAAGAAGTCGTGCCTCGGGGTGGTGCTGTGCGGCCGCTCCTGCACTTTGCCCGACGGCCGCAAGCTCTACCAGCGGCCGGCCATCTGCGAGAAGGCGCGCCAGAAGCAGCAAGGTGGCTGGCACATCGACTCGACGACGGACGGCGAACGGCGAACGGCGAACGCGTTTGTGAACGAGGCAGCCAGGCGGCAAGCACACCGTGGGCTAAGACTCATAGACACAGAGTTTCGACTTCCAGATTTATTTATTTATTTATTTATTTGGGGGGGGGGAGGGTGGTGCGGGCATGGGTCCGCTTTGTCCCTCACATTAGGAATCGCGGTTAGATGTCATTTATTTATTTGTGATTTTAATTGTAAAAGTATTATTTGAATAGGTTAATTAAGGTGTTCAATTTGTGGGGGCATTGCCCCCCCCGTGCCCCCCCCCCAAACTCTGCCCATGGCTCAGACGTTTCTCCCGCTACTTTAAAAAAAAATATTTCTCCCAAACAATATTGTATTAAACATACAAATGGCACTGCATGCTAAAACTAAACTAATGTTTTTATTTATTTTACCAGGTAAGGCCCATTGAGCTATATAACTCTTTTTCACAAGCGAATTGGCCACAGATGATAGCTCAACAAAGTGACAGCCGAATACTCTAAACGCGTGTTTCTAAATACGGAGGGGAAAACCGGAGTACCTGGAGAAACATCCACGCGACTACGGGGAGAGAGAGAGAGACACGCAAACTCCAAATATGCAGGCGTCGGGGTCGGAATCGAACTCACGACCTCCTGTATACCAGGCGAGGTAGTTAACATCTCGCTACCGTATTTAAAACGCACCGCCCCTACAGCGTTAAAATGTTCGATACCGTAACGGTGATGTGATAAGGCAAGAGGGGGCGCGAAATACATAATCGCCTGGGTGCGAACCGTGCGAGACAAATCAAATATTTGGTCCCCAATCTGACCAATTGCCGCACCCACCTGAGCTGACAATGTCGTCACTACGTCGCATGGAGAGTCCCGTGTGGCGAGGCATTGGCGTCCACTCCCCGCTGACTATTGCCCTGCAGGTGCGTACGGCTGGCTCATGCTGGTGAATTTACTCGATTGAAATTGTTTCCCCCCCCCCGCCACCCCGAGACAAAAACCCCCCAGCTATTTACTATTATAATGAGCCAAGAATGGCTGTGTGTCCCGCGCGTGACCTCACTCCACGTCGACCAGCCCCCCCCCCTCATTAATAATCATGAACAGGTGACGTCCTCCACATGGACCCCCCCCCTCATTGATAATCATGAGCTTGTGATGTCACGTCACATCAAACAGCCCCCCTCAGTAATAATCATTATAAGGTGGCGTCCTTCAAATGGACACCGCCCCCCACATTCATCATAATTAGCGGCTGACGTCACTCCACATGGGGGGGGCGAGGCGCCTCCTCCCCCCTCCTCAGCGTCAACTCACAACCCTCACTACAAAGGCAGAACCCTCACGTCATCACGTGATCTCCGTCACGCTGTTGAGACATCGAAGTAAAAAGGACGTCATGATGAACAAGGGATTATAACCTTAAAATGAAATAGGTCTGTGTCACTTCGCCCTTACAAATTGCACACGAATGGATGCAATGAATATGAAGTCGCGGTCTGCTTTTCGCTTGAAAGTTTCAGATTTACTGCAAAACACCCGTCCTTGGACGGGCAAAAGGCTAGTTTATAAATGAACCTCCATTCCATACCCCATATAAATATGAACATCTGTTTCGTCTTCCGGCTTTGTTGGTCACGTATTCTGGGCCAGTTTTTTTTGCATCCGTGCCAATGACGAGAGTCTGGGTCACTCATTGATGTTTGTTTAACGGACGCTATTGACGAGAGCCCTGCCTTTAAATGACGGAGGCCCTGGAAGCATTAAAATAAATCCAATTGCGCACGTTATAACGCAGCAATGTAGATAGTGCGGTATTGTGTTTGTATATATAAAAAAAACTCAGAGGAGCATAGAACTACAGCACAATGGTGGATTCTGCTCACAGTGTAGTCCAGCACCACCCCCATAGCACCTGGGAAACATCAAAGCATGGTCTCGGCTCAATCCTGCTCTAGCCTACGTCCGAATCCTGCTCTAGCCTACGTCCGTGAGCACGCGCCTGCTGTCGGGGAGACGTTCGACCCATTGCATTGTCACCTTGCCGCCGAAAGAGCTGCCCGATGCGGTCTCAGCCAAGAGCAGCGGGTGCAGCTGATGAGAGGCAGTGTGTTCAGCTGATGAGAGGCAATGTGTTCAGCTGATGAGAGGCAGCGGCAAAGGGGGGGCTGAGGCTGTGCAATGTGTGTGTCTGTGTTGCCTTCATAGGCGCTCGCTAACAGCGCTTGCCCCAACAGTCTGGATAGGCTTTAAGGTGAATCGTCCGTCTCTGTGCGCAGGCAAGGCGTGCCCCAACTGCGGAGCGGGACTGGAGTTGGTCGCGTGCCGGGGTCACAGTGGGTACCCGGTGACCAACTTCTGGCGACAGGAGGGCCAGATGATCTTCTTCCAGGCAAGAGAACTACCCGCAGCCTCCGCCGCATGGACGTCATGTTTCAGAGTTAGAATCGTTATTTACACTGAAGGAATCCGATGAGCTATTAAGCTCTTTTAATCCACACTTGAGATTTTACGCGTGCCTGCACAATTAATGCAAATACTTTGCATCCCTCAGTTATGAATTGCAAATAACACAATCACCAAACACCAATGAGCTTACATTGATATATTAAATAATTTAAATTACAACTTAGAGCCCTTCCCTACTCTATGATTGAAAACTTTTTTTCTTTAGAACTGCTTTTTGTGCTCAGTTTGTTGCCCTTCCACCGGCACCTCCGAATAGCTACGTATGGTGCGAAAGGTAGCTTAACATACACACACATACAATCATACGTAACAAAGACAAAGATCCCCCATATAGCCTTAACAGACTGTAGGGACAAGTGCTGTTAGCGAGCACCTATGAAGGCCGGAACGATACACGAGGGGGTGGGTGGCCAGGAGCACGCCCGACCGCCTTTGTCTCCCCAGTGGCGATGTTTACACACCGCACCAGGTACTCATTTAATACTGAGTCGACCTAGGGGAGGCCCACGACCGGTTCAGATAATCGTCACTGGTGTTGGCCGTGAGCGGGAATCGAACCCGTGTGGCCGGTGTCATAGGGCAGCGCGCTAACCGCTACACTATCACTCCCCACAATCACACACGTACATACACACACATACACATATACACACGTACATACACAAATATACATACACACACATACAATGCACTGCTCGGCTGGCTCCCGGAGAAAGCGGGGGGCCACCAGAGGCGTCCACAAATGAGCCCCCACCTCTCGTGCGTGCGTGCAGGCCAAGGGCTTGCACGACCACGCGCGGCCCGAGAGCAAGAGCGAGGCGGACTCTCGTCGCAGCACGGCCAAGAGGCAGGGTCAGCACGTGGAGGGGGGCCTCGTGCGCAAGAAACGCACGGCGGAGGTGAGGGAGGGGGGCCGACGCCCTCGACTCCTCCTCACTCATCCAGGGCCGGATTGAGATTGTGTAGGCCCCCTGGGCTACATGTACTGTGAGCCCCCCCCCCCCCCCCCAGTAATATTTTCAAAAGGAAAAAAAGTAAAAAAATTACAAGGCCAACAACAAATACAATTCAGCATTCACAATTGAAATAACTTTTCACTTAATCTCTGCAGCCCCTAAAGCCCCGTGCCTTATTCCGGCCCTGCACTCACCCAGCGATTAACTCGCTCGCTGACTCACTCCTCAAGGCGCTCGCGACTTTAATTCGCTAACTCACCCACCCACCCACCCTTTAACCCCCTGCCCCACTCACCCCCTGCTGCCTTCTCACTCCCTGCCCCTGCACCCATCATTTAACTCCCTGCCCCCACTCACCCGTGGCGCCCCCTCTAACAGGACGACAAGGACTCCCTCGCGAGCTTGGGCTCCACCTGCGCCCCGGAGCTCCCCTTCAAGCTGGAGCCGCACGCCTCCCAGCTCGAGCGCAAGGACGAGCGAGCCCACGAGCTGCCCGCGAGCGCCGCGCTGGGGGCCGTCTACAGCCTCCCGGGCCTCCCCATCTACCGGCAACCCTCCTCCTACCCGGGCCCGATGCGGACCCCTCCCGGCGGCGACTACTCCCTGCACGACAAGGGCTGCGCGCTGCCCTACAACCCGGCCGAACACGGCAGGGGCGCTGGGAAGGAACGCGCGGGATTCCCATACCTTGACCACGGGGCTCACCACGGCTCCCAGGACGAGGCGGGGGCCGGAGAGAATTCGGGACACGCGGCCACCCTGGGTAGCGGCGGCGGCGGCGGCGTCGTCCCGTGCCGGATCGTCGGCTCCGCGGGGGCTCCCGGCTCGCCGGCGTCCGTGCAGGCCGTGATCACGACGACCACCAAGGTGGCGTACCACGCGCACCTGCCCTACGGGGACGGCGTGTTCAACGTGCAGCACCCGTGCGCCGACTACTACCCCAAGGTGTACCCAGAGTTCATGTTCTCCAAGGAGCAACCGGCTCCCTTCCTGCACGGATACCCGGCACCCTACGCGGCTGCGGCGGCGGTGCCTGGCGGCGTCGCTACAACCGGGCAGGGCCGGTGCGAGGCTCAGTACGGGAAGGAGCCGTCTCCCTACAAGCCCGTGGAGCCGTTCACGCACTCGCACTCGGCCAGCGAGTACCTCTACCCCAACGGGCACTTCTGCCACTTCTGAGCTGCGCGTCCGTCCGCCCGGTCCAATTTGCTCCTCGTTGCCATCACGGGAATTTACGCTGCGAGGTTTGAGACGCGGTTAGGCGTAGAGACGAGATTAGCAGAACGTACGACAGTTTATTGAAGGCGTAATTTTGGACTGTTTAGAGAGAGATGAAACAAATGTCGTGGGTTTTTTGGGAAGGGCACGCCACTGTTAGGGCGGCTGATGGCCGTGTGGGCGAAAATAAAAAGGGAAGTGGCAGCCAAGGATTGGAACGGAACGCGTCGGAAAGGACGACCAAGGGGAGAAGATGGAGCGATGGAATGAGCTCGTGTGCGGGGTCGATCGTAGTTGCATCGTGGGTATTGCTGAGGATGGCGTCGGGCTTGGAGAGGTCTTCGTCCAGCAGTGGATTGAGCACGGCTGATTATGACGTCGTCGTCGACGACGATGATGATGATGACGACGATGAAAGCGGTGGCGCAGGTGTAGGAGGGGAACGAGTGAACGCGTGGATTCCACTGAACGTCTTTTGGACTGCTTCGCGCGTCATCAAGAATAAACTCTTGACCGGATATCAAAGGGCTTAACATCTTTTCAGCGAAATGTTGCCATTCTCCCGTACGAATTCATCATCAAGATCATCATCACGACGGAGAATTCCTTATGCAAATCACGTAAAGTCTGCCTCTGATTGACTTTCTTTTTTTTTAATTAGTAATATATCGTGTGAGAACTGGCGCCGCCGCTGTCTTTATTGGACGAGAATAAGCCCTGCTTCGGCATTGTCGTCGACACTTTGATAGTTTTTTCTTTGATTTACTTAGATTTTTTTTTATAACGAGACCTTCTACGTGTACGATGTGTTTCTGTAGCATTCCATTGGATGAGAAGGAACAGTGGAGTGCCTTTCTTTACAAGGTATACTCTTTTCAGAATCAGAATCTTTATTTATGCCGGAGAAACCCCTGATGTCCGGTAGGGGCGGGTCAAAAAGTTACAAAAACAAATTAAAAAAACGATAGAACTCAAAGTATAGGAAAGGTGAGCAAATCATGAAAACATAGATAAACTGAACCTTTTTTTTTTACCAGGTAAAGACCACTGAGCTATTCGTCATTTTTCAGAAGCGACCTGGCCGCAAATGAAAGCTCAGCGAAGTGGCTTATCGCGTGAAAATGTACAGCAGCCAAATGCTCTAAACGCGTGTTTGTGTGATCGAATCGCCCGGAATGCCACCCCCATTTCTCTGCCCAGCCAAGCGGTGCTTGGTACCAGTCATCCGGATAGCGCTTAGGATGCGCAACGCTTTCCTTGCACAGCGAAGGCGTGTGACATGCGGCTGCTGGGTCACGTGGCGAATCAGCTACGGGTATCACAGCAGAGTCAGTTGTTGTACTGCAGTTCTATGCTTCCACGTCTATGCCTTCCCCACCTCGGCCCCCCGCCAACCTCCCACCCGCCCTTTGGTGTGGGGTCAAATAACCCCAACGACCCCCATGGGCGTTTAGAGGCCCTCGTCCGGCAGTGGATTGACGAAAGGGGGCTCCCTATGTTTTGTATTTATTTCAGGTCACAAACGAAAATGCAAGCGCACTGATTAATTTGCCTCTCTCCTTTTGTTCTTCGCCTTTCGTATAAATGTATTACTGCTGGCCATGCTGACAAAAGGCACCGCAGCGTTGATTATCGATTATGGAAGTACGCGATTAGGGTTATGAACTCTGAACGCATGTACAAATTGATTAAAATCATTGACAGGGTTGTCGCTGTACAGGTACTTGAATAAATATAGCCAATATAGACGTGAAGGTTTTTTTTTACAATTTGGACGCAAAAGTAACACGTAGCACTATTTGTAAACAAAAATACAACTTAGCATCGATATATCTACAGAAAAACAGTCAAATGATTGTAAATGTACACGAAATATCTCATCTTTAGATAAACGATTGTCCCTTTAAATGATTGCTGGCGATGTCCCCACGTGCGCTATACGTTTAATAGCCATAAAACTATAAACTGCCGCAGGGCAAAACGTGGCGTACGATTGTGAAATGTGTGATTAGTTAGTACGAAACTCGGCAGAGCTCCAGCCTGTACGTATCTGGACGAATCCGGCTGTCCGAGTTAGATTCCCGCTCACGGCCACCAACACCAGTGATGATTATCTGAACCGGTCCTGGGCCTCCCCTAGGTTGAATCAGCCTCCAATGAGTACCTGGTGCGGTGTGTAAATATCGCCAGGAGGGAGACAAAGGCGGCCGGGCGTCGTGCTCGACACGCACCCCGCTCGTTTGCCGTGCCGGCCTTCATAGGTGCTCGCTAACAGCACTTGCCCCTACAGTCTGTTAAGGCTATACGGGGGGGGGGAGGGGCTTTGTCTTTTGTATGAGTAGCAGCGTAGCGGGTAGCGCACTACGCGCCACGGCTGGAGAATATCCCAACCTGTCCTGTGCCTCTTTGTAAGTCGAATCAGCCTTTAAGCGAGTGCCCGGTGCATTGTGTAGACATCAGCGCTGGGGAGACGACGTGGGCTGGTCAAGGTTCTGTGCCACACCACCCAAACATATCTTTGTTCATCTATAAAAAGGGGGATCTTTGTCTTTTGCACGACGCAGAGGGAACACGGCACATTCTACGCATATCCCCGCACGGTTGACCGCAAAGTCGGCAGTCGCTCTCCATTCCTTGACTCTGTCCTGACTGATGCAGTTGGGGACTTGTGCCATGTGGTTCAAGTCGCTTGACCAGTCCGTACCGTGAGTTATAATTGCAGTAATAATGTATGTATGTTGAACTTCTTTCGCACCGTACGTAGCCAATCGTGCTAGTCGGAGGCGCGTGGGACGGACAAACAAACTCGAACACAAAGAGCAGTTCTTAAGAAATTTGTTATGAATCCAGATTTTAAAGTGCATCGCTCCAGTGGCTTCCCAAAATCGTAAGGAAGAGCGTTCCAGACGGCCGCAGAAGCACATCTGAACCCGCTCGATGTGGTGACCGTCTTTGTTCGATGGCCAGGCAAGAACCGCTGCGAGGAGGACTGGGGTTCCCGTGATTGTTGATGCTCCTTAACGAGATCAGCAAGGTATGACCTGCATTTACCCAGGAAAGCCTCACTGAGACTCCAGACTATCTTTAAGGAAGGTCCTGCAAGTGGAATGTTCGGCATATGGGATGAAACTGGAGTGTCAGGAATGGAAAAAAATACTCAAAGCTCCGCACGGATTGATTTAAAAAGCCATTGTTCTACTGCCAGCATTTGGCCAACCTCAAGCCTTCAACATTGGTGATCACCAGGCAACCTCTCATCCAAATAACTAACCAGACACATGCTTGCTTAGCTTCTGAGATATGATATGGTTCAGGGTATCCAATGTGATTTAGTCTGAGATGATAATTAGGGTCTTAACCGCAGTCGAAACCCGCACAAACCACGCGTATCATGACCTACAACCTTCATCGTTGCAGACACTTCCCCCCCTGCCATGAAAACGAGGAATTTCCACCGCTAGCTCAAGGTCACCTACGCTGATTTTTGTTCCCACACCACGAAAGTTGTTTGAGCAGGGGAGGAGAAAGACCATTGTTGAAATACAAATGCTACTGTGACTCTGTGATAAAAAAAACAACAACCCCATGATCAGATGGCCATCATCCAGCAGTGGATTTATAGAGGGCTGTACATCGTTCTTGATTGTATTAACGCTCTACGGCACTGTTGTTTTGTGATTCATCGCTGGATACCGCGAAATATCCCAATAAATATATGACACAACACGTAGGCTATAATCATTCGGACTCCCCAGGCGCCGTCTTTCCACCAACCCCGTGTCGTCTTGGCTTTCAAAGGTTTGCGAGTGAGAGTCGCAGAAGGAATCCGGGGGACCGACAACTTGAGCACAATCGCGCTGCTGTGAGCGCCTTCGTGACGGATGATAACATCTGGGCACCGGCAATGAATCACACGTGCGCGCACACACGCACACCGGTGGAATCATTCACGCGCGCGTCTACATGTTGATGAGTCGTCAATTGCCCACATCAAGTTTATATTGGGCAACAGTCGTACGAATACGCTGGCGCGTGTAGGGTCCTGTCCGTTGGCACTGACGTGTATTTTAAAAATTCGTCTTTTTATTATCTCCCCCCGTCGGCTTAGACATTGATTTCAGACAAGATAGGCAGCGTCCGTCGGACACGGGCAGATAAGGGGTCTCGATATACGTGACTGGTGCATGATGCAACACCCCCCCCCCCAGTACAAGATCCCCTTGTACTCGCTCGCTACTGGGCATGTCCTACTGGCTGTTTGTTGTCATGCGCACGCGCGTGCAAGTGCAGACGCAGCGATGATTGATCGCGGATTTTTGTTGATTTCTTGAGATAAGTGTTGCCGGCGTTCTGTGAATAGCTCGAGAACTAAATAATCAAGTGCGAGGGATGGGAAGTGTACGTATGTATGTGTGCCGAACTTCGTTCGCACCGTACGTAGCCACCCGTGCTAATCGGAGGTGCGTGGGGAAGGACAACATACTAAACACAAACAGCAGCTCTGAAGAAATTCGTTTTCAATCTAGATGATTTGAAAGTGCACAGCTCCAGCGGCTTCTTAATATCGGGAGGAAGAGCGTTCCAGACGGCCACAGAAGCGCGTTTGACAGCGCGCGATGCGGTGACCGCCGTCTTTGTCCGATGGCTGAGACAAAAGCCGCTGCTGCTTGCGAAGATGACCGGAAATACACCAACGTGTGGATAAACACATTTCCCTTTATATTCTTAGCTCTTTCGGTAAAGTCACGTTGAAGGGAAACAATACAATAATAAAATATATATATAAAACAATAACAATTCTCAACGTGACTTTACCGAAAGAGCTAAGAATATGAATTACTGCAGTCACGAAAGCTTTAAATCAAAACATTCCCCTTTCTTAATGTAGGGTGGTGGGGGGGTGTTGACAGGGCCACAATCCAGAATCAGACCGGGCATAAATCCGACCCCGGGAGACCAGGGATAAACGTTTCGTGTGAAAGAGCTCGGAGCTCACCGCCTCACTGCCATCTGCAAGACGAGAAGCCATACTGAGGGAGTACCAGACTGCATGTGTGGACAAAGCGAAGCGAGAAATCGTGGTGATTGCACGCCATCCAAAGTCCACCCGTCCATCGGAAACAAACGACTGCGGGTACAGGCGATCGGAGTTTGATTGCGGGCTGCAGCTAAAATCAGTGCCGATGTGTATCTGAACAGATCATATCTCCTCATCCCCACCCTCTCTGTCTTACAAAAAAAACAAAGACAAATTATCCTCCGTAATAGCCTGTTGGGGCATAGGCGCCGTAAGCGAGCAGCACCTGTGAAGGCCGGCACGGCACACGAGTGGCGACGATGTTTACACCGCACCAGCTACTCACTTGAAGCTGACACGACCGAGGGGAGGCCCAGGAGCGGTTCAGCCGTGAGCGGCAAACCAGACTTGGTAGTGTCGGGTTCGTAGCGAGTTTTCACACGCACGACTCACTCCCCCAGGGCTCCCAGGGTACAGAATTAACTACCACGGGGTGAGATGTTAACTGCCTCGCCTGGTTTGCAGGAGGACGTGGGTTCGATCCCGACCCTGACGCCTGTCTTTTTTGTAGTTTGCGTGTCTCTCTCACCGTGGTCGCGTGGATTTTTCTCCGGGTCCTCCGATTTTCCCGCTTCACATTTAGAATCAACATCACGCGTTCAGGGTGTATGGCTGCTACATATGTGTCCTCGTGAAAAGCCACTTCGTTGAGCTATCTTTGGTGGCCACATCAACTTCTGGAAAATAGCAAAATAGCTCAATGGACCTTAACTGGTAAAAATAGAAAAATACATCTTATCTATTGCATCTTCAGCGGTGCTGTTTGTTGCTGGTCGCTTGGCATCGTTGGGGATTTTGGGCCTGTGCTCATTTAAGCAACGGTGATTTTTTTTTAAAACACTGTTCAGGCTAAAACCTTTTTCACTCGCGGCATCTGACGAAATCGGGCACATTACGGGTGCTGTGGTCACAGGCTATGCTAGACATTGAATATATGCAAATGTAGGTGTGTGCGTGTGTGGGGAGCGATAGTGTAGCGGTTAGCGCGCTGCGCTATGAACCTGGCGACCCGGGTTCGATTCCCGCTCACGGCCAACACCAGTGACGATTATCTGAACCGGTCCCGGGCCTCCCCTAGGTCGACTCAGCCTCAAATGAGTACCTGGTGCGGTGTGTAAACATTGCCACTAGGGAGACAAAGGCGGTCGGGCGTGGTGCTGGCCACCCACCCCCTCGTGAACCGTTCCGGCCTTCATAGGTGCTCGCTAACAGCACTTGCCCCTACAGTCTGTTAAGGCTATATGGGGGATCTTTGTGTATATGTGGTGAGCGGGAGCGCGCTGCGCTACGAACCTGACGACCCGGGTTCGATTCCCGCTCACGGCCAGCACCTAGTGACGAATATCTTAAGCGGTCCTGGACCCGACCCTAGGTCGACTCAGCCTTAAATGAGTACCTGGTGCGGTGTGTAAACACCATCGCCACTGGGGAGACGAAGGCGGCTGGGCGTGGTGCTGACCACACCACCCCCTCGTGTGCCGTGCCGGCCTTCATAGGTGCTTGGTAAACAGCACTTGCCCCAACAGTCTGTTAAGGCTATACGGGGGGAGGGGATCTTCGTCTGTGCATATACTGTACATTTTGATCGAGCAGCGCACATGAGTTTAGGTAGGTATAGAGGGTTACCAGCTTGAAGGGGCACGTAAAAACTGGTATTATGTTTCAGACATGTACCTGTGCCATAGGTTAGGGGGCGTCCACAAATGACGTCACGCACCTGGGGGGGGGGGGGGGGGTCAGACATTGGCGACGACGTGTGACGAGGGGGGGGGGGGGGGGGGGAGAAATGTGACGTCACATCAAATTACGCAACTTTAAATAAATATAGATTTGTTATAACAACACGAATTGTTATAACAACACTCCTATAACATCAGAGTGCATCGCCACATTAAACACGCACTACAATGACAATAGTTTAAATCGATTTGAAGCATGTTTAATTTTCAAAATGGAAATATGTTTTTTGGGGGGGGGGCAGAGCTTTGTGACGTCATATTTGAGGGGGGGTCTGACATTTTGTGACGCCGT